GAGGGAGAGGCGGGGTCAGCCCCGGAGACCCCAGAGATGGCTGAGCGGGAGACTGGAGGCCAGACGGGGGCTGGGGCAGGGCTGGGGCGAGGGCGAGCCTGTGTGGGCTGTGGAAGGGGACAGGGAAGGGGCGGCTGCAAGGCCCACGGGTGCCGCTGGTGACCCCCCGGGAGGTGGCAGCCCAGCTTTTGATGGCAGTTGGCTAGAGAAGTGCTGAGCATGGGACCCAGGAAGGAGAAGGAGCAGAATCAGGCACGGTGCTGGCCAGGCGCTGGGGACATGCACATATCACCAAGACCCAGCGAGGGATGCTTCCAGCGGGTCCTTACTAGCACCTGGACCAGCACTCCACTGGTTCTCAATTTCTCGGTCCAGACTCTGCACTACCTTCTCCCCGCTAGAGACCAGCCCTGACCGGAAGCTCCTGTTGTCATGGTCCTTGTTGCTAATAGGAACGGTACCTGAGCTTCTGCTCGGACAGCACCAGCTCTGTGTGTAATGAAAAGCCTCCTCTAGGAGGGGTTCTAGCCGGGTGTGGTGGTGCACACCTGTGACCCCAGCACTGCAGAGGCTGAGGCCAGCCTGAGCTACAGAGCGAGACCCTGTCTCAAAAAGAACAAACAGACGAAAAGATGATCCTATCAGTCCCAGCTCGATGTCCCAAAGCAGGCACAGCGTTGGGCCACAGTCCGTGCTGCCAAGTCGTGGTTCTGAGCATATTTCATGAGACTGGAAAATGTGCACAATATAATATTAACGGGAAATACAGGACCGGGAGAGTATATCATCAGAATTTAAAAAAAAAAAAAAGAAAGAAAGAAAGAAAGAAAGAAAAGAAAAGAAAAGAAAAGAAAAGAAAAGAAAAGAAAAGAGAAAAAAAGAAAGAAAAAAGAAAAAGAAAATTATATGTGTAGAAAAAAAGTTTGGAAGGTTATATACCAAGTAGTTAGCATAGGTTAATTCTACGAAAATATATCACACATTCAGGGATGCTAAGGCAGGAGGATTGCAAGTTTGAGCCCAGTCTGGGCAACAGCAAGACCCTGTCTCAAACATAAAATAAAATAAAATTGCCGGGCGTGATGGCGCACACCTGTAATCCCAGCACTCAGGAGGCTGAGGCAGGAGGATTATTGTGAGTTTGAGGCCAGCCTAGGCTACAAAGTGAGCTCAACTCTAGCCTGACCTGCATAGCAAGACCCTGTCTCAAAAAGCCAAAAAGGAAAAAAAAAAAAAAAAAATTAAAATAAAATAAAATAAAAATTTAAAAAGGGCTAGGATGTAGCTCAGTGTAAAGGCCCTAGGTTGCATTCCCAGTACCAAAAAAAAAAAGTATCTTGGCTGATTTTTCTTTTTTATAGCTTTCCCCTAAAATGAGCATATATGAGTTTTATCAGTGGGAAAGAAAGACCTGTGAAGAGGTGCTTCCTAAGGCCTGGGGATTTGGCTCAGTGGCACAGTGCCTGCCTGGCAAGTGCAAGGTTGTGAGTTCGATTCCCGTTACCGGATATGTGTCCAGGAGGGGCGCCCACCCTGCACTCACTCTGCACTTCGAGCCCATTCTGTTCCCTCCCACCAGGGCCCGTGCAAAGTGCTCCCTGTGACCTGAGGTCTCAAAGCTTTAGGAACCAAATACATCTCCTGTCCTACACCCCGATACCTGCAACTCAAAGGAAGAGAAGTTTCTTTTAGCTCAAATTTGGCTCGGGTGGGGTAGGTATTTTCCCCTACTCCTGAAAATTTCAAAAACAAACAGGAGAGTTATCAGAATTAGCTGGCTCCAGGGCAGGACAGCAGGGCAGAAGGTCCCCCGGGAGGGGACAGCGTCTTCTTAGGGGGGTCTCACTTTACTGTCAGTGTAGCCTCAGTGTAAGGCGCAGTGGAGCACAGGGAACCCAGGATCACCCCACGGTTCCATTGCGTGAGCATGAACTGCGCATGTCCAGAAGCACATCTAGCACGGGCACATGAACTGCGCATGTACGGAAGAGGCTGCGCGCCGGTGTAAAATAGGCAGAAAGTTCGCAACCTCAGTGTGAGAAGAACGTGAACATTCCTAAGATTTAATCTTGATTACACAGTGAAAGAACAATATTTTTGAGATATTGGGATAAATAAGTATACTATTTAATTACATGCATCAATTTTTTAAAAACAATAAAATTAATTTCACCAATTCAAGTTTTTAAAAACATGGCTCTAGGAAAAGGCAGAGGTGCACCCGTGATTTGCACGGAGCTGATCGGGCAGCGGTGGCGTATGTGGTGTCTGTTATTATTCTGTGTCAGGAATATTAACTGTTCTTAGGCTGGCTGCCCCTCAGGTACAGGGGTTTGTTAGTCACCATTTCTGGGGGTTTGTTTTTATTGCTGCGTATTATAAAAGTTACAAAAGAGAAAAAGGTCCGTAATCCCCAACAGCTGGAGAACAGCTTGGAGGATTTCCTTCCAGGATTTTTTAATTTTGTTTTGTTTTGTGGGTTTTGGGGGCACAATATAGACAGATACCTAATTTTTAGTTTCATGAAATGGTGATTACACGATTGGAGTTTTCCGTTGCCCCCCCCCCTTTTTTTTTTTTTTTTTT